TTCTCTAACATAAAGCTTGAGTCTTCTCTACTATTAATTCAGTACATCAAAATAATTCAATATTCCTGAAGGCAACTTAATACCCGCATTTCATGGAATTTGGCGGGCACTGGTTATATTTTTGTCATGCCATATTTTGGGTATCTCATAATCTTCAATAATCCACCTACGCCTATAGGGGGACACTGAAATTGAGCGATACTGGATGCAATTTCTCATTTTATTACTTTACAATTTTCTCAAATAACCTATAGCTGCCAACATTTCTCCGCCCCCGTTATTGCCGAGTTTCCTCAACTAGGAGCGATGCGAATGCTCTTTCGCTTACGAGCCAGCATTCACAAATAAGGGTTTCTGCTGGTATGCAGAGCGACCATCTTGGATTATCGAAAACTTACGCAGATGGGATTTTTTCCTTTTCAACAATATTATTTTATACGCTGCAGGGCCAAATAATTCTTTTTTTAAGTCATAACTTTATCAGGAAAATTATTTTTAGGAGGTTCAAGAGTGCAGATTTCAATGAATCAGTAAAACAAAAAAAAATTGGCTAATGCATAATCCCAGGGTTACTTTTGACACACTAGGTTACAGAGTCGTGGTAATTTCTCGTACTTGCAGATAACTAGTGAAAGTATGTATAGGTAATCAGTGGTCATTAGTGCAATATTGGCTTATAGCTAATACAAAAAAATAAAAATGAAAAATTTGCTACTCTATAAGAAAATTAATAATGAAATGTGAAATAATGTGAAAGTGACGCGACTAAAGTAAATTAGAAACATATTTTCTAAGAACCTCTGAATAATTATATAATTACACTTGTTTTACATAAGTTTTCACCTTAAAGGTTTAAACTTATTAAATAAAAACAAAAACTAAAAAGCTCTGAAAGAATAATTATATGAAACTAAAAAATCTATTAATTTGTTACAGACTTACGTAGGTGAAAATAAAGGAACATTCCCCTTCAAATAATTTCTATACTATCTATCCTACTTAAACTAACCAAAACTAATATTTTTTTGGAATATATCCATATTTAATGTCACACTTCAATACGAGTTCAACTTCGGCTATTGGAATATTATGTTAATTTCGTGACGAATTTGAACAAAGATTTGTTTAAATTGCTTGTTTTTATAATTTTGATTTAAATTAAGTGCTTCAAAATAAGCTCTATATCATATGCAATCGTATTGCAAGAAACAAATGATGAATTTGCATATTTGAGCTGTGTTACTATTTTATGTCTTATTGATGTAATCTTTGTTACTGCCCTTGAAATGTAGAACTTTAAAAAAGATTTCTTTACTTACCTGTCGCTATGAGAAGCAAAGCCGTTGCAATGTCAATGCTACTGGCAATTAGTTCTAATTGGTGTTAATTTGAGTTATATATAGTGAAGACTGTTGAGGTGATTTCTGATATATATGGCAATTTAGTTAGCACAGGTACACTACAGAAACTTCTCTGGATAATTTCGTAGAACCAAGAAATGAAATAATATAAAGAGTGTTCTATTAAAACTATAAGATTTTTGTTTTGATTGCACTTATGTTTAATGTATTTGATTATTGATATACTTTATTTCTCCTTGTTAATTATATTGTTGTCACTGTGTTCGAAATGTAAGTCAATGCATAAAATATGGAAAAATTTTGATGGCCCACCTCAAAAATTAGCCAACATTTTTTTTTCGTTGTTATAATTATAAATTTCTGGTTATTTGCACATTGTTAGCGCTTTGCGTAATACTAGGGGCAAAAGGGACCGCTTAAAAATTCTGAAAAATACCAATAACAAATTTTTTAATGTATATAGAAATATTTACTAGTCCCTAAGGTTTTCTTTTTATTAGCCAAAATTTGCGTAAATTTACTTAAAGTTAGTCAAAAATAAAACGACTTCATGTTTAAAAGCCACAAAAAATAATAAAAAGCTTAAGGGGCCGCCTTGTTCCACTCTCCCCTAGTAATTTTGTGATGTGATTGCTAATGTTGTAGAACCAAAAATGCAATAATATAAAGTGAGAGAAACTAAAAGAAAAATTGAATAGCACGTAATAAGAAATATTTAACAACCGCAGTTTTGCGAAAAACATTATGGAAACTGCCCGACTGGTGCTACAAGGCGAAAATTTAATTCAAAAAGGCTCGCGCCCCAAGAAAATTATTTCACCTTTTGCAATTTCGTTTTCCGTGTTCCAAGGCCGCCGCATAACGGTAAACTAGTAGAGTTATACTCTTGCCTACATTTCTCTTTCATAAAATGCCAGAAGCGGTAATTGGAAAACCAGCTTATTTGAAATTGAAAATATGAAAAATGTTATTCTACGTACGTGATGCGACATGTACTTTTCGCATTCACTTGCTGTGAAAAATACATTAAGGAACATCTACAATGCAACAACGACGTTCCTGCTGCGTCGATTCTTCTCCGTGAAATTTCCAATGAAAATCCGGCGTGTTTCGAAATAACTCGGCCGGATTGAAAAACAATTGTGCACGGTTTGTATTTATATTATAAGTTTGTTAAAGGGGATAGGCAAAAAATAGTTTTACATAAAAGTTGTCAGATTTTTTTCTTTTTACTTTTTTTAAGAAAATATATGGTTTGTCGGTATTTTCTTCAGTCCTATTTGAAATAAATAAATAAATTTGCAATTGAAAATACAATTTAGTAATCACCATCATTATTGCCTTGCCGGAGTTTGCAAGTTATACCCTCTAAACTTATATATATTAATTACGTAACGATGAGTAATTATAATTTCTACAAACTTGGATTGTAATATGAAATAATGAAAATGAAATATGATGAATATGAAAAACTCGTGCAACTTTTATGTATCTGCCAAGTCCTATTAATAAAATATGTAGGTGGTTCTTCTTCTTCTTCCTCAAGTGTTGTATCCTCCCAGAACATTGGCGATCAGTCGCATCAGTCGCTTCACTTTGTCCGCAGCAGATCTAAACAATGTGGTGCTGCTTGTTCTATACAACTGACGAAGATTTTTGAGGCAAGACGTTCTTCAGCGACCAGAACTGCGTTTCCCTCTATTTTTCCTTGCATAATATGGAGCAATTCACATTTCTTATTTCTCATTACACGGGCAATATACTCCAGCTTTCACCTTTTAATGGTTTTCTTTGTTCACATATTGCAGAACCACCATGTTCTTAAAATATGTTATTGTTTTCGCTATTCTGTTTTTGATTTCTCGTTTAGCCCTAGTTTTCATTCACCATTTCCACTATTCTCCATTTACGCTAAGTTATTTTTATGTTATGTTTTTGTTTTTGCTGATGCCTCTCCATTTATTTTTCTTTTTCTTTAAGCGTAGATCCATTTGTTGGCTATGGCCTGCTACCGCTCATAAGAGTAGCTGTAAATCATCCTTATCTGTTGCTAGTAAGGCCGTGTCGTCAGCGTATCTTAATTTGTTGATGACGATTCCATTAGCAATTACACTCTTTGGTCTTTCTTTGAAGATTTTTTCTGTATATAAATAAAACAACAGAGCGCACATCCTTGTAGGTGGTTGTCCAACGCATAAATGAAAACTCTGTGCAAATTTATTTAAAATTAATCTATATACAATTACTTATTATTACTTTACCAGAGAAAATGTATATTTTTTATTATTACAAAATTTTACCTATTTCTGTCTGGGGGATATTGGAAACCATAAGAAACACGAAGATGGTTAAATTAGAAAAACGTTGTCAATTTAAAGGTTTACAACGCGCTGTTGAGAAAACTGAGAAATTCCCATCTCTTATAGCGTTTATCCAACGTCAAAAACGATAATTTTTTGATTGAAAACAAAGAACTAAGAATTGTTTAATTATTAAGAATCATTTAATTATTAAGAATTATTTAACTAATCAGGAATTAAAAAAAAAACTGCCTGTATAAATTTGAAGCGAACTTACTGCATTTCCCTTAGATGCATTTTAATACTCTAGCTTAAACAGAGTATATATATTATATATATTACTTAGAATATTGACTTAAATCAGTGTAAAAAAACTTCTACTAGTATTTAATTAAATCGTTATTTTGTTATATTTTTTATAATTTGATGATTAAACTATATTATACATAGTAAGTAAAATAATTAAATTGTTTCGGCAAAGCTTTGCTAGAATAATTTTTACCCAATAAATGGTTTTCCGGGAAAGCTATTCAAAGCTTGTGCTTTCCAGACGTCTGAATTGCATAATTTTTGCTTTGTAAATAATTCAATAAATTGCAAAATATTTAATACGTAATACAGGATTTAACTTCGAAGCTTAATGAATATGTATGAAACTGCGCTTTCGAATTCAGCTGCTTTAATACCTCGTAGAACAATGTGCTCCGTGCAGATTGTCTTTTTTTTCCTCCGCCCTTATTTTACAGCTGGAAATGGTGAAATCCGTAAATCAAAACTTTAATTAAATTTCTTTTTTTATTACTTTATTTGGCACAGTTGGACGGGGGCGATGTTACCACCGAACAGCAGTAGTGATGGATTAAAATGCACCAAACTTCACGAAACCATCTTTATCCACCTGGTGTTTAGTATTACTGAGAGTAATGAGTAAAATAGAGATAGCGAGAGTACGATATTGTCAAGCAAAATTTCATCCAATTAAAAAACCAATTGAAGGCTCTGCAAATCTGGACATTCAATTTTAGCAAATTGAATCATACATTCGCATTTAAACAAAATTGATTCCGAAATAAATTTTGAAAATTTATAAGACAATGCTTTCTCTCTCTATTTCTCAACTTTAAATTTTATTAGTCTATATTTTGTTGGGGAGAGTAATATTCGATTTGGGTATTTTTTTCTCAAAACACAAATGATCGCATTATATACGAGGGTGGAGTGAAACGTTTCCGGCCTGACCAAGAAAAACGATGTTTTATTTTTATTTTTGCTTTATTTTTCAAAATAATTTCATCAACAGTGATACATTTGTCATAACGGTGTTCTTAATGGTTTATACCAGTTTTAAACGTAGATTTGTCAAGCTCCTTAAAGTACTTTGCAGCTCCAATAACTTCTTCGTTGCTCTTTAATCTATTACTGACAAGCCATTCTTTGAGGTTAGGAAATTGGTAATAGTCGCTGCGGGCTAAGCCTTTAGAGTAGGGAGGTTGCGGCATCAATTCAAACTTCAATTCGTGGATTTTGGATATTGCAACAATCGACGAATGCTGTGGTGCGGTGATGAAACAATTTTATTTTTCTCACCAAACGAGGTTGTTTAATTTGCACCTCGTACTTCAAACGACGCAATAACTTTGCATACCATTGACCAGTGATAGCCTTACCCTTTTCGAAGTAATCAATGTATATAATTCTCTCACATCCCAAAAAACAATAGCCATAACCTTGTTGAAACTGTACGTACCGGCTCAATAGGAATGGTACCGTAGGAGACGCTCCAAAAGTAGACATACTTGTTAAAAAATTTTTCTTTAGATATAGTATTATTATTATTATCAATATTGTTATCATTGTTATTATGAAATGAACAGCCCTTGCATATGTTTATAAATAATTTTCAAAGTAGCAAAATGTTTTTCTTTTTCAAGTTAACTTTTCTTGATTCCAGAACTTGATATTAATAAAAATAAATATCTATCTAAAAATGTCTGAAACTGTCGAAAAAATTGAAGTCACGGCGAGATTACAATATTTTAAAAAATTTATAAAAAGTTTTGAGAAAATTCTAAAATTTCATACCAAGTTTCCTGTTTATCCAGACCAATATAATTCCGGCATCTAGAGTCCGGCGGCAAATGCCTTTGTTTTCAACAGTATCGCCGCGGTGATATTTGCAGAACATTCTTGGCTAATGCCTTTTTAGTCGCCCCCTTTAATATTTCACACCCTATTAAACAATTACGCGGCCGATTTGCGACGTGCCTTGTGAGGTTCACTCGTTGATATTATGAGTATCGAAATGTTGGGAATTGCTAAGATCTCAGGCATCACACGACAAGAAAGAGACCGCAATCGTTTTGCGGGGTCCTGATTTACGAGAGTTTTCATTGTTTTTGTCTCGCCTCTGCGATCGCAGGGGATTGTCATTTCTTTTTGCTCGTAACAAAACGCGATTAAGACAAGTGCTTGGGGGTGTTATCGTAATTGGTAGGGATGATGGAAAATATCATCTGAACTAGGGAGGTTATCGTACTTCATATATTTTTTATACTGTGACGTTTTCCCACTTACGATATTACGTCCGAAGTTATTGCCGTAAGGAGTCGGATTAGCAGAAGAAATATTGGACTTTACAAATAAATAAAGGAAGTTTTTGGAAAAACATAAAATTAATAGCTGTTTGCCGATATCATTCTTATTCAAATCAGTAACGTATTATTTGATAATAAAACAATATTTCCTATAATTACTTTTAAAAAATAAAAATTACATTTAATTTTGATTTATTAGTAAATAAAGCAATGTCCTTCAGATATATTTAAGTTGATGTTACACGTCACCGTGATATCAACCAAGAGACGACAAACCAAGCAAAAAAAGACACCTTGGATTAGAAACGAAAAAGAGAATATGTATATAAACCTTTTATAAAATCCATTCTCACGCGGGCGATTTAAACGACAGCCGATACCAAGAGAACCAAACGGACGCTAAGAATAGCATTAAGATCATTAGTAGAAAATAGGAAATAGAATCAACATATAACGACAATCGAGGAACAAAGTTTAGCAAATGTCACAAGAGATGGAAAGCCTGAAAGGAAAAGTTCACAAGGAAGACTATAAAAGAGATGGCAAGATAGCTGGTTGTCAGAATCTCATAATGGGCTAAATGTTACTTAGGAACCACAGGTTTTGGGCATAACTATCACGTAGGAAAAAGAGAAGAAGAAAATTTGTAGTGTTATAACCTAAAAAAAAAGCCGAAAAAGCGCATAGCAATTGAAATGATTTTAAATGTTAAAGTATTGCAAACTTTAAGTAACTAAGCGATAACAATAACAAAGATCATGTAATATTTTTCACAGGATTTACATTTAAAAAATATTTATTAATAATGAAAGTATATAGTAGATATTCTACATACACATTATAGTTATTATCTAAAATTTCAAAAATAAATTACAATCACTTAGTTGAAAGAAGGATAGATGATTGAAATGATGTCACTGGTTAAGGATTTAGGTAGGATTAAGAATTTAAATAATACAAATCAGTCTCACAGTACACTTATTTGCTGTTGGATTAAAACGTATTACAAAAAAAATAATACTGATTAATAACCGTCTCCTTCAAAAAAAAAAAAAAACACATTCAAGAGATTGCTTTATAATTTACGAATAATAATAAAAAAACACGTCAAGACGTCACGTGTAAGACGTCACGCCCAAAAAATTATCACTAAAAAGAGAAAATGGAAGAAAACCCAGAAATACATAAAAAGAAAATTAACAGACAATAATTTCATGTAGTTATATTTGCAAAAAGAAGATATACACTATTCAACTGATTTAATTAATTGCAAATTTTCAATGTCCCTGTAACTAAGGTTTTGTCACTCGTGTGTATCTTATTCTCTTTCTTTACTAATGAAGCAACATAAAAAACAATCTACAATGTAATGATTGATAAATGTTTATTTATTTCGTTTGTCTCTCTTGACATTTGACATTTATATTTTATTTTTTAGAGCAAACTTCAAACTACGAATACAATAATGACCTACAAGTGTTGAGGAATAGTATATTATGCATTATATACTAATGAATTCACTGATATGACCGTCAGAATTGACAAATGTCAAAATTCTAAGCGTGGGAAATATCTCCGAAAACATCCGATTGCTCCCAAACCCGTCTGGTAAAATCCCGGAAATGTCCGAAGTGACGTCTCCCGCACGCTAGATCGGTGTGTAAGTAGGTATTTTTGACTAAATCTCTCGAAGCAAACTATGAAAACTTTTTATAACTGTTTATAAACAAATATTTTTAAACGTATATGAAACAAGTTTGAAACATTGTTTATATCCACACATCAACATGACAGAAAATGCATGTTACAGTTATTTTACTTGTAAGGCAAAAAAAACACCATCTGATTTTGAGGAATTCTTGAAAATGAATGGTCCTAAAATATCACCACAATCTTGCTTAGTTAGGCTGGCAGTCACCTTACGATTTTTGGCTTCCGCCGATTCATAGACAAGTCTAATGTATACATTTAAAAAATACAAGCAATATGTATCTTTAATGGAACCTGAAACAAAAAATAGCCTTCTATCTGTTTCCGAAACCCGTCCAAGTTGTAAACTTTGTTTCTACTTTCGACGGGAACCCAAAAATGTTCAAAACCTGTTTCGAAACTGTTTTCAATGTCTTGAAAGACCACTGAAACAAATCGAAAATATTTGCGAAACGTGTCAGAAACAGGTATAAAAACTGAACTGAGGTGGCTTTTACTTGATAAAATCCCATTTAACAAAATAAATAAGAGCTAAAGGTTCAGATTTTCACGAAATTATATATTTTCACATGACAATTGTTTCGACAACATCGTGTCTTTATCAAATGTAATATTTACAAAGTACCTGCTACTATATATACCGAAAAATGACAATAAAACCTTAATTAATGTTCTTGCGAGAATTTAAGTTCAATAGAGGAGAGGTATTTAAATCTAATTTATCGTTAAGCAATACATTTGAATGTCTCATTTTGTTAATCTCCATGGGTTCCAATAAATTTAATTTTCTACTTTTTGTGGCTGTATGTGAAATATCAAAATTGTAGTCAAAAACGTGTTTTTCCGTGTTTAATTGTGTAACATAGTTAGAATCTAGACTATTGTTTTAAAACGCTCTTTTATGTTCGTTAATCCGTTTCTTGAAGGATCTACCTGGTTGTCCAATATAAATTTTAGGACAAGATCGGCATTTCAACCTGTAGACACCTGATTTTTGAGATTTGGGACATTTCGGTTTATTGTTTTTTAAAAATTTTCCTATTGTGTTGTTAGTTCTGAAAACCACATTTTGACAAATGTTTTTAAACTTTTTCACTGGGTTCTCCTATGTATGTAATTATTTTAAATTGTTCGTGTTCTGTATTAGGTTTCGGATAAATAGAGTTTACTGTTGTCTGGAAGGTTGATAAAGACACGGTGTTGTGGAAACACTTGTCATGTGAAAATATATAATTTCGAGAACTTTTAGTTCTTATTTATTTTGGTATAAAAATTGTTTCTAAAATTAGTATATTATGCAACAAGTGCGGTAAACGGCATTTAACTCAAGAGTTTATTTGACACGAGCGGAGCGAGTGTTTAATAAACGAGTGGGAAATATCTCCGAAAACATCCGATTGCTCCCAAACCCGTGCGGTAAAATCCCGGAAATGTCCGAAGTGGCTCGCATTTGTGGGAAACGAAACTGACGTGGTAAAGCGACGCTTCCCGCACGCTAGATCGGTGCGTAATTGGGTATTTTACAGACGGGAGTAGAAAAATATATATTTCTTGATGTGACATTATAATCTCACAGGCAATTAATTTATTAACTTATATGGTTACCATAACAACCACTTATAGTTATGCAACGCTCGTCACCCCACTCGTCTTTTGCCACCTTTTCATTCTTTTTCAGAAATCGGTGTCGATAAAAGAAAGTTGGCTATCGTTGCTGTAGTGACCTTTGGAAAGCCTTTCATGTAGTTTTTGAATGCTATACTAAAAGAACCTCAAAAATTGGAATATCTTGTGTGATGGAAAAAGAAAAACTCATTGTCCTACCGATTTGCTTAACTGCTCGCTTCTTAGCTAAGAAAAAAGAAACAATAACGAAAAATAAAATTCGCTCGTCAACTTAAAATCCTCGTAATATTAGAGTGACGGGAAAATATTGGACGATAACAAATTTCCGGTGCGAAATTCGCGGGAGGGTTTCGAATTGCGGAAATACGAAACTTGCCGATCTCAGAAAACGTATTACGGCCTGACGATCTATTATTAAGGATTCATTTTGCCGCCCCTAGGAAGTGGCGATACGTCGTTAATTTATTATAAGGGATGCGCCCTTTTTATCGAAATTAGGTACCAAACCGAAACCCCAATACGATGTACTATTTGTAGTTTTTGGAATGGTTATTTTGCCAGATGATAATTACAAGGTGGAACGCGAGCGAGGTGAGGTCTGAAGGTCTTTTTTTATATAT